TGCTTAATTAAATATTTCACTGTAACAAAAATAACCTAACCTAACCTAACCTAACCTAACCTGACCTAAAAATAAAAATGAAAGAAGAAAATAACAATAAATAGGGAAAAATTCCTAACAACTGAAACTATAGTCAATTTTTGACAAACAAAAGGTATTCTATGTTACTTGTAATACCTCCAAGAATATGTGTACAAAATTTCATGATGATCGGTTGAGTAGTTTTTACGTGAAACCGTAACAAACAAACTTACATTCGCATTTATAATATTATAGCTTTCACTTGCGGCTTCGCTCGCATTTATGTCATTAAATATGAGTGAGTACAATAAAAATTAATCAATATGAGAACTATATTTTAATGCTTGGCTGGGATTATCAATTTTTTCAAATTATTACATTCAATGAAGTTTCGAAAACTTAAAATATGCTTTATTGAATTGCAACAACAAATGTAAAAATATATTTCATTGTAACAAAAATAACCCAACCTAACCTAAAAATAAAAATGGCAGAAGAAAATAACAATGAATATAGAAAAATTCCAAACAGCTGAAACTATAGTCAATTGGATTGGATTGGATTGAATATTGCCGTGGCTATGAGTAATGCAGTGCGACAGTATTACGGTACTGAGGTTTGAAGGTGACAATGGTGACAATGTTTCATGATGAATTTCACTAGTTCGGACTTCCATTGTCTGACATATAAAATGATTTGAAATCCCTGAAACAACTAAAAAAAAAGAAGAATCAAAAATGAATAGCTGAAAATAACAATTATATTAAGCAAAAATAACCTGAAATGAAATAATAGTGAAATAAAATACATGTAAAAATAGAACAATTGAAGAAAAAATAAAGAAATATAAATGAACATTAAAATAAAAAGTTGAGAGATTCTATGCCACGTTAGTTCACGACGTTTCGATTGTTACTATCTACAATCGTCTTCGGGTTATTTTTGCATAATATGATTGTTATTTTCAGTTAGTCATTTTTAATTCTTTTTTAGTTGTTTCAGGGATTTCAAATCATTTTATATATTAGACAATGAAAGTCAGAACTAGTGAAATACGGTACTAAGGGTTGGAACTTCATTACTGGAATGCTAGATGATGTTAAAATAACTACATTTTGAGATTTTTTTGAGAAACAATTTTTTATCTTACATAATAAATATTTTTTTAATAAAAAGTGTCATATGTTACTTCTAATACCTCCAAGGACATGTGTACGAATTTTTATGATGATGGGTTGCGTAGTTTTCGGGTGAAACCGTAACAAACAAACAAACCTACCTACATTCGCATTTATAATATTATTAGTAGGAAAGTAAGGTTACAACAGCTTTCACTTATTCTCGTTTGAGGCTTAGAATGGTCTACAATATTACATCACAACCACTGGTTCATACAGTTGTTGATTTAATTAGTGAAGCAATTTATCCACGCCAATCCAACAGGCTACCGTCCCACCGTCCATAACTTCCAATCATTGTATCTTCAAAAGCACATTATTCAAGTGAAAATAGGAGCTTCCTCTTGTATAGGGTGAAAGACAGGTCACCTCATATTTTCGAATGCCTCTTCAGGTGAAAATGAAAACCATTTCGATAGATAGGCGACAGAGGGCTACCCTGATCGTTTCACAATAATCTGGGATGTTTCGAACATTACAGGTTATTCCCGAACCTTCCAGCACATTTCAGGCTGTTCCGCAATGTTCAGAATGCTCTAGAACAGTCTCGAATGTCCTGGACTTTCGAGAGGGCGGAATTGCTAGCCCTCATACCTTCAAAAGCTCGCTCTTCTGGTAAAAACGAGAATCTTCTTCACGGATGGGGGGTGGAGAACTTTCACCATTTTGATCATTCCACAATAATCTGGTATGTTCTGTGAATTCTCTAAACTTTCAGATCATTATTTCCTAATATTTCACATCATACCAGGATATTCCACAATGTTCTGTTTTAAAACTTCTTGAAGTACAGAACTTCCACCTCTCATATTTTCGAAAGCACGCCATTGGGTTAAAAACTGAAACCTTCTTCATGTAGAAACTGATGTTTCTGACAGAAATAATAGGTAATATAATAGTATAATAATAATAGGTATATATGTTCTATTACCCTTGCAAAGCTGGTAGGGTCTCAATATGCCTACTCCCAAGCATCAACTGGCGCTTGTGAGTAGGCAGATTGGGATCTTCGCTGATCCTTGCTGAGACCAATGACGAAATATGTGGAGTAGACATATTGAGGCCCCGGCGTCGAGTCAGAAAACCCTTGCAGCGTGTCACTTCATGCGGAATAGGCAGATTGAGATAGTGATAGTTTTTTGAAGATGATTTCAAAGTCAAAGTCGAAACGTCGACCTACCAAAAATACAAGACGCGGTTCAACCCGGACTATAAATTGTCAGATTTCTGACCACAGAAACCTTTCCAAGGTTTGTAAGTACAATTCTCAGTTGATTTTCTTTACTCCTGAAAACATGCTGGTAGGTACATCAATTATTCTATCGGCATGAAACACTGAAATCAAACTTGTAGGATATTTTTCACAATTCACATTATGAAAGAAAAAAAAGGTTTCTCTTTCTACCTTCTTTCCCAAAAATTATTCTCCCCTAAATAATTAGAGAGTAACTTACGTATTCAAAAATACTTTATTGTGGCATGTCTTTATTCGTGTGTGTCTTTACTAGACACTAGAACTCTATTACAGAGTCAAATAGATTGTAAAATCGACTCAGATAGTTACCTCTTAATATTCAACGCACTTCTGTGTGAAAAAGCAATCGGTTGAAATCTTCATCATTAGCAACACAAAGCTGATTAAATAATCTCTCATTTAAAGAGCTGCTTCGGATTTTATAAACTGATTTGATGATACATTGCACTGATTGAGAGAGGCGCTCACTCAAATTTTTCGCAACCAAATGTTGCGTATGAACGAAGCAGTGTACAGCGAGCACATCTGGAATGTTATTTCATGAAGCCTCTGTGACATACTGTCATAGCCGGAGAGCCATCCGTAGCAGTGCACACTTTTTCCAGTGTATTATATATGGTTTCTCCTTTTGTATTCGTCTCTAAATTTCTGACAAATAGTAGTTCTTGATATATTTTCTCATTTTTAATCAACCTCACGTATTACAACAACAATTCTTCATTAATATCTAAAGTGGACTCATCTAACTGAATTAAGAATTCAGAAGTCTTCAGATGATTGCACAATTCGTCTTTTCACAGAAGTATTGCTCACAGAATAGTGTGAGGTTTACCTGTTTGAGCAATTAGCAAGAAGATATTGTAGGAAGCTCGGAGTGCGTTGTCGTCTTGCTAAGAATCCTCTGAAAAAAGTTTTGACACAGTTGGCTGAGCTGATTGTTTCTTTTTCAGTTCTTGAAAATGAGTCTGAATGCATTTTATTCAAATGATCTTGTAGCCTTGAGGGTTTCATCGCTTCATTCAAAAATGTTTTTTGATAAAGAAGGCACACAGGCGAAGATGGATTTGTGGGATTTTCAATAAATCCATATTTTATATATTCCGCGCTATAATGCCGTTTCTCCTTTTTTGCTTCCGACATAATTTTGTCTTCAAAAATGCCGAAGTAAAGAATCGAGTGGGTATTGAAAACTTGCTTATGACACCACTCACAGAATTCACCACCGCACGTGGTGCGGTGTGCACGTAGCTAGTCGCTAAGTAAATTCATTTGTTTTTGTAATATCGTCGAATAACATTACTGGCTGGAATGAATGAATGAATATCGTATATTACTTGTTTTTTTTTACAATTTTACAATAATTAATGTATATGTGTTTATGTTTATGTAGGACCCTGCTATAGGCTTATGCCTCTTCAGGGATTACTGGCTGGGTGACGCGCGCGCTTTTATATGAGGCAGCGGGCGGGCCTAGTCCTTTCTAGAATGGAGACTAAAAACTTTCCGCTTTGCATTGAAGCTCACCGCCATCTATTGTACAGTTTGACAATTATCGAACAGGACATGGTTACTGTCTAGACCCCTAGATGGCGTCACACGAGGAAACGCGCGTTAAACGTAAAGTACCGGTAAAGTTTGGGTTGAAAGCAAAAAAACATTTTTAAATAAGCCATCGCTCCCCTTAACCTCTTCAACACCCACCAATCTTCTCTGTGCCCTTTACTGTCCCTCTCTACGCCTCAAGCGCCCGCAAGGGGGCGTTATATCCCACTTTGAGATCAACAGATGAATCATACACATATTATTTGCGAAATCATTGACCCAAGTTCCCGTTTTTGTAAAAGTCAACATGTGGTTCATACACAATGGGACTCCAGCTCATTTTATAGTTTCCTTCCTGGTAAACATCTCAATATCATCTATCTTAATCGCTAAATAGACATGCAGGAACTCAAAATTGGCTACTTTGGGTGATTCAGATCTTCAGATAATCAATGACAGATTCATTTTAGTCATCTGTTAAATCAGGGGCCAAAATTTTGTTCATTTACTCTAAGGTTAAAATTGTTCATATGAGTTATAGTTAGAGTTATAGCGACTTTTCTAGATATGAAGCTAGATATGAAAAAAACAGGAAACACCGAATAGTTGTATTTTCAGTTATTAGATCTTAGAAATTAAAAACTTTCGAAACACAAAGCAGTGGCGTACTTCATTCTCAATATTGTCTGGGAAGTCCACTGAAATGCTACTGGCCTAATAATTTTGATCTAAGTGATGCTCAATAATCGCCTTATTACTTCAAATACTATGAAATTTCAAACATAGGTCCAAGGATATTCATTATATATTATAAATGTCGTTTTTGAAAGTCGACACGCCTTGTATCTCAGAAACGAAGCAACTCCGGACTCAGGTACTTTAGTGTGTAGAGAATCATCCTGTGAAGTACCGTAGTACACAAACTATCTGTATATGTTCATTTTTCCACAATATTTTATATTATATGGAGCATTCACGATACTCACTGATTTTATCTATTTCAGGTCTCAGGCAGAAGTTTGTTTTACTTCTGAGTTCTGGAACGACTTTAATAGCCAACGTTTCGACTTCATCATCTCCAGATTTCAACATATCAANTATACATATATATTGATTAATATTCCGAAGAGATGCATTATGACATGCTCGAGTTTGCCCCTTTTCTCTCGTGCAGACCTACGACTTTGTAGGTACGTGTGGCAGATACCCAACGGAAAAACAACAACTAACCCAGCTAATGCCGCGGCGTAGAGAGTTGAAGTAGAACCATCAGACACCTGTGCAATGTCTTCGACTTGGAAGATTCGTTGCAAGTTTTTGCCCACTACGAAAAGCCACCTGTTCGCAAAATTTTGTCATATTCACTTTTTTGTGAGATTCTCAATTAGCTAGGTTAGTTAGCTAAGTTGATATCGTCCAACCCGTATTAGGAATCACACGTTAAAAGGTAAGACCTCGTTATTCCTTAGTTCGCACAAGTTTCGACTTCTGAGGGTTGTCATTCGTAGGGGTGCGATAGCTGATTAACGGAAAAAACATATTTTAAACATACACAAACACATTATTGAATAAGCCTGAAATGCTGTTTTTCAGTGAAATACGTGTCGCTGTTTTGTAAGCTGTCCAGTGAAAATCACACAGTAATGTGCCATTTGAAGTATTGGCCAGTTCCATCACATACCATATGTTTGCATTCACTGTTGCTTGAATTTATACGTTCCTTTCCCTCGATACTTTTTGAGTCCCAAATCGATCTAGGTACAATATGTATGGACTTCATCGCTTCAAAATCGATATATTTAATTTTCAAAAACTTCAAAGGCAAAATTGTCACTGTGTATTTCGAAATAACCCATCAATATCTAGGTCAAAGATTAAAATATGATAATTCCAGGCCTCAAAGAGCAACGGCGATCGACCGAGCCAACCGACATCATGAAAACGGGCACAGGTCCTTGGCTGTATATCCTGCTCGCCGCAGGATCGACGCTCATCGTCGCAGGAGCTGTCGGAGCAATAATATTTGCCGTACGGAGATTCAGGGTAAGCAAACAAGACGAAAGCGCCGATTAATTTAAATTGGAAATGTATGGCTCCCTTACAAGGACTCCGACGAGTTTTTCCCATGTGCCAACTTTCGTGAATACCTAACATCGATTTTCATGATTGGGGTGAAGTTGGGTCGACAAAAGAGTGAGAGGAGAAGCGGTCTGTTGAAAAACATCGTCGAAAGTCTCCCACTATAGGCAGGGAAACCTATAGGGGACGGGCAAAATTGAATATTCCGTAGGGTGGTCAACTTTTGAATCGTACCAATAATAAATGTTAGAAGTTCTGAATTCTGAAAAAGTATTACCAGTTTTGTGAAATAAAAGAGTATGAGTGAAATATTGAAACTACCAAGTATTAATTTCTAGACGTGATGGTGAAGAGGACCTATACAGGGTTGGGTAACATCTGAATACAGAAAACTAACTCATATAGGACAATAAATAAATTACAAATCCAACCTTCACAAATCTACCAGAAAGAAATCGTTGAGACCCTAATTGATTGTTCATCCAGTCTTTGTAGTAAGACTGAAATTATCTATGGTACTAGCCAACAATAGGAAATTTCTTCAACATAATGTTTTTCCTAATGAGCTGGTACTTATGAATAGTATAGTGAAGTTGTGAACAGTTCAGCTGAACGAAAAAGAGAGGGGTTTGCTTTTTTGCATTTATTCCAAGAACTTTTGAAGTTACTCATGATTTTCACAAAAACAACTTTTCAGAAAGTAAAGCATGATTTATAGTTCCAATTGAGCAATGATAATATGGGCACGCTCCAAGAAAAAGTTCATTGAATATGAATATTGTGAAATAAAAAATTATACTTTCATTGACATTTTTTTCCAAATTGAAGGTTTACATTAACACCTTTTGATAATTTTCAAAGACAGAGCTTAGATTTTTTCTTTGGAGATATTCTTGGGAGGCTTTCATAAAAATCCTTGATGAAAAAATTCAATAAATTGGAATTTGCAACACACCAAGGATAAAAAAATGGAAATTGCGAAAAACAAGATATCCGCTATACCAATTTTCAACTGTTAAAACTAGAAAGTTCAGGAATGATTGGTGGTGTCCGAACAAATATTGTAGTGATCGACCGTTCAACAATGACCCGTGAAATGAAATAAACAGACTAAGGAACATGTACAGTGATGATTGAAAAATAGAAAAACAGTTTAGAGCAACAAACATTTTCAAATCAAGCCTCAAAAAAATTTAAGTAAAACTCATTAATTCATAACATTACACATTTTTGATCATATGATATCATAACCAATAAGTAACTTTATATTCTGTGTAATATGCAATGCAATAAATTGATGGGTTTTATTCAACTCAAAGTTAATTTTCTATTCTCCAGGGAATTCAAATGAAAACTTGTTTTTAAACAAGATACCTAAATTTCATGGAAATGTTGAGACTTAATAAAATAATACTGAACACTCGTAGTTCAATCATATTATAAATTTCATTTCGGAATGAGAATGTATACACCTACATTTTAGCGTTCCAAAAGTTGTCTCAGATGTCTCATGAGATATTTGAAAATAACAATTATATTAAGCAAAAAACCCTGAAATGAAATTACAATAAAACAAAATACGAGCAGAAAATTGAACAATTAAACATGGAAAAGAAAATAAAAACTAAAAGATCTCATGCCAAGTTACTTCACTACATTTCGATTTTTAGTATCCACAATGGTCTTCGATATTTGCTTTTGACTTTTAGTCTTTTGCATTTGATATTGTCTGTTGCTTTTGTCTTGATTGATCTTTGCAGCTTGAAAACTGGGCATTCCAACTAAGGTTCCACCGTAACTTTACGTTATGTATTGATCCCGTTGCATTCTTGGCATAAACTCTCGATTATTTCTAGATCTCATCCGTTTGGCGAAGAGCTTCAATAATTCAAAGAACGAAAGTATTAATTTTCTCCTATTTCTTCATCGTCGTCATATTCTCGGCGTTTGAAAACTTTCGTTCCATTGCCATTATCTTTAGTAGGTAGTGTATGCCGATTTCCTATTTACTTCTGGTCTGAGCTCGATGGTTCCCCCGAAGAGAAACCCTTGCGTTCGGGGTGTTAGGGAGGTCTTCAATCACATGGGGGTGATGGTGAGAGTGTGAAATAAAATGAAATTAAATGCTTTATTCAAATAAGATACATCCTAATATACAACAACGATAATAATGTTAACATTAATATACATATAAATACAATAATAGAAAAAAGATCTTCTGATAATTGTTAATAAGTAGTTCCACCTACTATAATTGAAAATACAAAAAAAAAGATACATAATAATTTGGTATCACCTTAATGGTCTCTTAAATGGTCTAATACATTTCTTTTGAACAGAATAAGACTGTTAGAAGACTTTGCATTTTCAGGTAGACTGTTATACTTAATATATCCTTTAAAAATTATTGTTTTTATTGTTGAACGTTTTTGTTTGATTATAATTCTTTCTTATTCTGGTAGTACACTGATGGATTTGATTATAAAAAATTTCAAATTTGTCAAAATATGAAGGTAGAAGGTTATGCAACTTATTGTAAATATGTATGCCTACTTTCTATAGATAACCATTCTAGATTATTTAACATTGAAGATATATGGGTACTCCTGTCACATCTCAAAATAATCCTCATTGCGCGATTCTGTAGTTTTTGTAGTGTCCTCATTTTATTTAAATCACTTATGTATAGAAGAGTGGGACAATTTTGTCATTTTCTATTTTAATTTCAATTTGATTTAAATCTAATCCTCTGTACTTAAACGGTGTAGTGAGTATCATAGCCTTTGTTTTGTTGACATTTAGCTTCAATTCATCAGTTTTCAAATATGTAGCAATATTATTCAATGCTTCATTCATTTTTTTGAATAGCTTTATCTATATCACTAACCGATACTAGAGCATCATCAGCAAAATAATGTTCATAATCACATTCATTACATTTTCTGATATCATTAATGTAAATTAAGAATAGCAATGGCCCTAAAATACTTCCCTGCGCAACCCCGTGGTCTACGCTTATTGCTGTTGAGACAAACTCATTGATTTTGGGGACCTGTTTCCTTCCTGTAAGGTAATCACTGATCCAATCAAGTACTTCTCCTTTAATGCCAGAAATTGAGGTTAGGAGTGAGCACAGGCGCTCTGTGATGTGGTGTGAGTCATAGATTTGTTCCTCGGTATAGTTCTCAAATAGGTCCTTGAAACCGTTCACTTTTAGATTTAAGGAATTTGTAAGTGTTTAAATGGAGTGACCTCACAATTTCCCTAGATAAATAAAGATATGCACGAAATTTCAATTTTCAACTTTTGACATATCTTCACGTTTCATGCAAAAATAATCACCTGCATTGATGAAACAATTATCGTATTGTAAACCAGATGATATATTTGGATTTCCCATACCAAGGAGGTTTCTAATTCTGTTGAAAATGGTGTAATTGAATTCGTCCGTTCCGTTACACTAGTTGCAACAGGTTGATATGGGTACACGTTACAAATGATTTCATCTCTAGATTACGAATATTTTAATATCAAGAGTCAAATGTGATATAGCATATACTTTGAAGAAAATTATTGGGAAATTTTGGAATTTCAAGTCCTCGGGTTATGAAAAACTTTGAGTCATATCAAACAATGGCAGCAGTTTGAATGAGAATCAAACCAGAGGAACTTTATGAGCTATTTACGTAATTCATTTGATTTCACAAACATTCTCAAAAAGTAATACAATATATTATAGCATAACACCCATTGAGCACTGATGATTTTATTAAACGAAATACAGAAGTGAGATCAAACTCCATTCATGTCACGAAAATTATCAAAAATGAAGTCAATATATGTTCTACAAACTAGACAATCATCACATATTTTTGAACAATCAACAGAACAAGGGTTACATGACATGAACACTATATTCATTTCTTTCCTCAACAAATGTTTGTGGTCTATCGTGTCTGATTTTTTTTGAGTTGAAAATTTGGATTTTTTAGTCTCCAAAATCCACACCTGTCATTGAAAATTCGATGGTGGGTCCATACTTAGTCTTCAAGTAACTAATATTGCCATAGTAGAAACACTCGGCTCGATCACTTCTTCTAGTATAGTAGAATCCTCCCTCTGCTATATCATGTGGTTTCAGATAAAGGGCTACTGGTCAATCATCAAATGAGTTTATCCGAAAATAGTAGTAGAAAGCCAAAATCTTTCTTTCACAAAAATTATTCCCTCCTAAAAATACACTCCTTTCAATTTAGACTTCATTCGAATTTCAGTACTGAAACGGATCATCTCCAGACTCCCATCTGTCTCAATATAACATTTCGAACAAAAAACTATATCATCTCTACCAGTATAAATGAAACCTGCATCAGCAAATTTATCTTTTGGAAATTCAGATTCCAATTTCGAAAGGTTTCAAGTCTGTCTAAATGAGTGTCGAAATGTCTTTCGTTTATCATTTGCATTTTCGATGTAAGACAGTTAAACTGAAATGAAAATTAAAATGCAATATAATATATTTATTTAAAATTTTCTTTGGGATCCAAACCCTTCTACATTTCATCCTCAATAAAATACATACATTTTCATATCTATGACACATATCACATGTAACAAAAATAGCACTCTTCAAAAATACATTATACGGCAGTTTTGGATACATTTTGCAAAAAATTACATGTTTGTCAACACATCGAATTTTTTTAGCAGTATCCTATTTCAAAAGATCATGCACGTCATTTTCAATTAAATCAAATCACTGTTATGGGAGGTATCAAATCCGAGCAACTTGACATAGACCTTAGACATAGACCCTTTTCCCTAAGTACTTTTTCTGCTGGATAAACATCAGGATTTTTTGTTTTTTATAATTCCTCGTAGTGAAATGCCCTGCTGATTAGACGTTCCCCCAGGAAGTCCCCCCAGATCTTTCAGCAAATAGGTGATGGGGTTGGTAATTTTCACTTTCGATACTATGAAGAGCTCTATAATTCAATTGGGCACAACCTTTTTCGAAAATATGCTTTTGATATGCGCATCACATCTAAAAATTGGAAGTTTTTGCTTCCTGTGGCGACTTCAATGAAATTATAGACTGATTTGAGAACCAGTTTTTCATCGACTTCCGTTACATCACATGGTTTTATATTAATGGTTCGATATTTATGTTATTTCAGGTAGAACATTCAGCCATTCAAAGTTTGAATTACTCTCTCCGCATTAGCTACCTTCTTCATAGTATATGTTCTATAATGACTGATGTTATATTTTTTTCATTAGATTCCTAAAGTTGGCTTTTTTTTTCCCAAATCCGACTAGAGATTTTTGGGGTATCGGTCACAGCTTATTTTCACAATGTGACTCATGGCATCAGTGACATTAGCAGAAGTTTTACTCTCAAGTGGTTCCGTCATCAAAAACTGAAAAGGGTTTCAGTCAAATCCAGAATATACTTGTGGTTTTTGTTTTTTGCATATTTTTGTAAATTTGCAAAGTCCATTTGCCATAAATCATTGAGACCTCTGATAGTACTTTGTCGTCGTTCAAAATTCTGTCGACCAGGTTTATGCAGTTCATTAGTTATTGTTTTTTCTATCGAATATTGTATCTTGTGACCAATGACATATAACTGAAGCAGTAATGTGAAAAAGTGATTCTAAAATATAAGAAATTGCAGACGTCAAAGTATTGGTATTTATTAAACCTCAGAAAATATCAATGACGTTTGTAAAACGCCAAGAATCTCTATTGAAACGCATCAATTCACTGAACATTTTCATTGAAAATTATAAATGAGTACACTTGAAATATTGAATGTATCATACTTCATAACTGAACCTCAATTTCGTCTAGTAGTTTTTTATGATAATTATTTTGAAGTGATTAAAAACTGCTGATTTACCTTCTTCATTGATTTCAATAAGTTGATTATTTTCACTTTAAAACACAAAAATGTTTTTCTTTGTGACTCCATCAGACGAAACTTTGAGGGTGTTGTTCGTTGAGTACATTTTCTTTAAATTTTGTATGTACTTCAATGATTTGTCAATGTTTCGTTCCAATTTCGTTAGACATAGTTTCCAAGTCTTCTTCGAAAGTAAGTAGTGCTAGCCTGAAGAAGATATTATCATTATTTTTGGCAGATAGTTCACACTTTTTCACACCAACTATATTTACATCCTTGATGAAATTGATATTTTGAAGTCGCTTTATAAATTTTGTCAATGGAACCGTCCGTGTTATGAATCACACGTTAAAAGATAAAACCTCGTTAGTCCTCAGCTCGCACAAGTTTCGGCTTCTGAAGGTTGTCGTTCGTAGGGGCGCGTTAGTTGGTTAACGGAAAAACATATTTTAAACATGTATTTTTTGAACATATACTTGGATCACTTGGATACTGAACGTTGCAGATTTTCAGAATGTCAGTAAGTTATCATCGAAAGCCTTTCTCGTTCATCATCAGAATCTTCATGCCAGGATGACGCTGAAGCCGCCTAACCGATCTCAGAAATGGGCATGATGCAACTGAGAAATATACAGTAAATTCTTAGATAATAATAGCAACAATTTCATTGTGCACAGATGTATTACCAGCCTTCTCTGCAGACATAAGTGAGGAAATCTATCGACTAATTAATTTATAGTATCCCAATATACGTATTCTGTTGATTTTTTATTGAAATACAAAACTATTGAGCGGAATATCGCTACCTGCCGTGGTAGCACGTCGAAAATGGGTTCAAATATCTACAAATATTTTCTTCTCGTCGTACCCTTCAAATACCGTATTCAAGTATTCAAATGAGGCTTTTCTAACTACTAAATATGTTTATAATTGTGTAAATCCTCTCGAGTATAGTCTTCAGGACCATTGAAAAATATCAATTGATATGAACCCGGTGTGTCTGAATTGGTACCCGTCCATTAAGATGTATCCATTACGAAAGTAAATTTATTTTATTTCGAAAAACCATTCAGAATCAGAAACATCATGTATTGGACCATATAAGTAATCGATTTGTTCTTCTTTACTAAAGTGCTCTTCAATACATTTCTGTGCCATTGGAGGATATTGTTCGGGGTTTTCCGCTAATACATCCTCAGGAATATATTGATTCGTTACTAGAGCATCGAATACCTCCTCTTCACTAGTGTCTTCATCTTTGGTACCAGCAATATCCACCAGTTGTAAAACTGAGTCTGATCTAGAGAATGCTGTGAGTCTCTCACTGACTTCTATTTGACAGATCTATCATCAATGAAAGTTTTAATCTTCCTCTTTGAAAATGATCACTTGGTAATCGAAACACGTGTTGAGGTGTTAAAAAAAACAATTTGGTGTTGGTAAAAAACTCCAGTAATATTCATCAATGAAAGATTCAATAATCCTTAGATCGCACAAGTTTCTGAACTTCTGAGAGTTGTCGTTCGTATGGGGGCGACAGCTGATTAACGGAAAAACAGATTTTTTTTAAAGAAAGATCGACCTCAATACCGGAATTTCCGAGAAGGAAATATGTAGCCCTTTTACACTTCCATGCTAACTAAACCAACACACTTAAATAGTCATTAAGGTTTCATTCAAAAGTTTCTGTTCGAACACAAACGCTTGTTTCCTTATTTTTTTGCAAAATGCTATTTCCTTCAAAAGAAAATCCTGTTTCGAACCGAAAGGTCATTTTTCCGACGTCCATAGTGTAGACGTTGCATGTTTCGGATAAACTAGTTTTCAATTCCACAGTCCATTGAATATTGTCGTAAACAGGGAACACTGCCTTTTGTTCAGTGACAGGATCAACTGCATTACATCGGGTGCCTCTCTTAGCCGTAGATTGAATTCGTCGATCGAACTGCCTTCAATTAGAGGTGCCACAAGTGTAACTTCCATTATACTATTATAAGCGGACTCTGAACACAACGTCGAAACGTCTGTTACTTCGATACGGATAATGACAGAAACGTGCTATTTGAGCTTGGTGGTTTGTTTCAGTTGTCTGTTACAATAGAGAAATGTGGAATATGTGAATCAGTTTATGTTAGAGAAAGATGGGTGCAAAAGTGAAATATGTTACATTTTTCAATAAGAGGAAATTTGTGGTTTGTATTACCAGTACCCATCAAGCTATGCTTGTTTATTCACTCGGTAAAACTTACTTAATAATGGATGATTCTTCTCAATATTTTTTTGCAGAAAGACCAAAATTTTGACGATCTATGCATGGTAGAATCACATTAAAGTACTTCTCAAAAGAAGCACAGCATACTCGTATGCTCATTTAGATTCTCCTCACATATCTTATTCACACCCATTCCAATGATCTAGTTCCCTGCACAGATTTTTTGTTAGATGTTTTTCATATGCATCCGTTATTTGTCTTCTATTAGCAAGTGCCTGATATTCGAGTGAAACATGACGAGCTTCCACTTGTAGTTTGTTTAAGTGTCCTTCAAATAGCGAGTGAGAAAGTAGAACCGCAACTATTTTGATCCGCTCCCTATCATATTGACTCAGTTAATTTAAATTCTAATAGAGGATTTTCATAAAGATTTTCTCGTGTGTGTTTCCAGGAGTTTTGTTCCAGTACTTTTTAGAGTGCATTTCGGTTGAAAAGAGCTATCCTGAATGGGTAATTTGATATTAAGACCACAACAAAACGTGAACACATTCATACATAAAAATTATCTGTTATTCAACCTCTTCCCACAAAAACCGCAATAACAAATAAGGAATGGAAAAAAGTCGCGTGATACCTTATTTGAAGAATCTGTCAATTTTGTATCCACCTCTTTAACATTTTTGATATTACAGCAGAGAAAAATAAAATGCTCTTTCAAGTTCTCATTGAATTTCAAACTAGAAGTTCAACCTTTAAAATTTACAGCAAGTTCCTTGCTCAACAATTTTCATTATTGAACCTATTGAAAGCTAGACAATCGCGTAAAAATAGTTTTTATGACTTCTGTCCTCCAATGACTCACGACGTAGACACAAGATTTCATGGGACTTTGGAGACAATTTTTGAAACGCCGAAATGAGGATGTATACAAGTTTCTAGCTTATTTTCTTCCATTTCGAGGAGGATCCCTTTTTCGCCAAGTGGCTACGTTATTGATTTTTTGACGCCCTGCAAATAATATAATGTTTCATTATGAAACGTTATATTCGTGGTGAAAATCCTAGTCCAAGATTATGCAAACATGTTCTCGAAAAAAACTGTCGTACATAACCACCCATTTTGAAAGTATATAAAAATTTGCGGAAGTTCGAAAATTGTGTTTGATTCATTCCTTTCGGTTCAGAAATAAAAGAAGTTACGAATCCGGTAATGATAATGATGAACTGTAAGATGTTTTTCTCATGGCATTGAATGTAGGTCTGCTGTCCTGAGAAAGGACGACGCTTGCATTGTGTTATCGAAGAAAATTGTTTAGTTACCACCCATATACATTTGTCGCGTAGATATGGGACCTTAGATTATCTAGACTTCATTATATTTCACGTAAAATTGAACTCAACTGAATCTTTACTAAATTAACAAATAAAATCTCCTATAAACAGAATATGAAAATTTCAAATAAGAAAAATAAATAAGATAATTAATAACGACTGCTTTCACAATTTTGTTTTCATGTGTTGATTATTCTCTTACGAAAAAAATTATCGTTGTTTGGAATGAAGTTGTTCACAAGAAACGTGAAATGGAAACTGAAAGGACGATTATATTTAACCGCTCAATGACTTGGGGGTGAAATCAATGAAATCTATATTTCAATTCAATTGTTCATTAATCAATACTCGATATAAAATCAATTTTAGACTTTGCTTCATTTCACGATGTGAGAAAATAGGTTAACATTGTTCATTTATTTTGGATAATAGTATAGAATATTAGTTTTTGTTAATGACATTCCCATTTTATTCACAAAAAATTTGTAGGTAGATAGTCCAGTTCGAAATCCCAGAGTGAGAAGTCCGAAGATGGAAGAAAGTCCTTTAACTCCTCACGTACAGTCATTGTACACGGATACTATTTCTGATGACAACAATCCGGACCTTATTCCGGATGCAGCCAATAATGGTAAGTAACAATACAACGAACAAATTTCAAACCCATTTTGGAATTTTAATAAAAATGTAACCGATAGAAACGAGACATTTTTTCTTTTTACTCGACTTTCTGATTTTGACTTCATTTTCAAGATTTCGAATTTGTTCTCGTAATTTCAGATTATATATTTATGCTAGTCGATTCTGAACAGTATATATAAATATACTGAGTGTACCAGCGAAAACACTTTATTCTTTGTAAATATATTTTGTAACCAAAAACAGAGAGACATGTCTTAGTTCATAATAAGGATCCTATGTAGTCTTCTCATGTTTATCCTCCTACTCTTCAGAGCTACCTCATACTTTTTGAGGGTCTATACTTTGATTGTATAGCGTTTCAATTCTCTTTAAGAACTTGTTTCCTTTTTTGCATCCCCTTATCTTTAAAAACATTATTATTTTTAGACATATCGCTCTCAAACAATAACATTCTTAAAAAAATTCTTTGAGGCGAAGAAAACTGGTTTCATGGGAAATTTCGATATCTGCAATAGTTTCAGATTGATAAATGAAATCAGACTTTCCTATATTCTTCATTATTTTCTGTACTCTGGAATCTACCGAAAAATTGTTACCAACTGGTTTTTGAAATACTGAAATACTCAGTACAGTGAAGTAAAGTTACTTAGAAGTTTTTCAGAATCAACGCATACTAAGAGATGCCTAAACGCGGGGTCAAATCATCATCCTATACGAATACAAACAGTGGACAACACCCTTGTATCCAGATCTAACCGACTCACGGACGAAGGCACAAAATATCAAGGAATGAAAGAAATACAGAAAACTCTGCATACAGTTCACAAAGCCACACACCGAAGAAAGAAGGAATCAAACGAAACCAAAGTCATCCAAAAAAGGAAGAATTCGAAAACGACACAACATACTAACAACATATAAACCAACGAGAACCATCATAACCCATAAGGCAAATTGTACCAAGGCATATATTAAATGGCATGTGGAGATTGCCGCGGGGAATACGTCGGCCAAACAAAAAGGTGAATATCATTCAAATCTAGAGGGACACAAACTTGCACTTCGCAACCAATAAACAATCTCTGGATTATACGAACACCACCATGATAAAGGTCATAACATCGACAGTATACAGCACCAGAAAACCAGGATGATAATGGAGGCAATCGAAATTGAGAGGATCGGCAGTATAAACAAGAGAGATGACGCACACTACCTCTCTGCTGCATGAAAAACCATCATATTCAAAACCAAGACCAGTGCAACACCAACAGCAATGTGCCTTCCGTCGAGCATAACACATCAAAAAACCCAATTACCCCACCAGTCAACCGGAACGTTTTCTGCCAAACAGTCAGGACCACCCAGTCGTGGCACATTGATTACTATTCTGGGTGGTGTGTTTGCTGTTGGTGGTGCACTGGTCTTGATTTTGAATATGGTCGTTTTCCTTGCAGCTGAGGTTGTGTGCGTCATCCATCTCGTTGAGACGCCGGTTTTCTCACTTTCGATTGTCTTCCCTATGATTCTAGTTCTCTGATGTTGTATATTTGCGATTTATTCACAACTTTTGGAATCAATGTTGTGTCCTGTATTAAGGTGGTGTTTGTATAGGACTGAGGTTTTTTGTGTTTTTCTAATCTGACTGATTATTCACCTATTTGTTTGGACGACGTATTTTCCGTTCCAATTCCAACCTGATATCTTATATATGCCTTGGTTTTTTAGATTAACTTTGTTATTGTCGACGGAACTTCTGATTGTTCTCGTGGAATTATATATGTTGTTTTTATGGTGTGTCGTTTTAGAATTCTTCCTATATCATCCGTAACTCCTCTGACATAGGGCATGGTTTCAGTTCCTTTTGTATTCGTTTTTTCATTGTTTTCCTTCTTTCTTCGGTGTGTTGTTTTTTAAATCGTATGATTTTTATATCCATTGTGCTGAAGAGCTTTTCATATATCTTTCATTCCTTTCTCTTTTCGTGTGTCAGGCATTCAGATCTGGATATAAGGGTGTTGGCTACCGCTTGTATTTGTGCTGGATGGTAATTCTAACGCCGCGTTCAGATTATTTTCAGTATGTGTTGATTTCCTATAGACTGTGTGCATCTGTTACAATAGAGAAATGTGGAATATGTGAATCAGTTTATGTTAGAGAAAGATGGGTGCAAAAGTGAAATATGTTACATTTTTCAATAAGAGGAAATTTGTGGTTTGTATTACCAGTACCCATCAAGCTATGCTTGTTTATTCACTCGGTAAAACTTACTTAATAATGGATGATTCTTCTCAATATTTTTTTGCAGAAAGACCAAAATTTTGACGATCTATGCATGGTAGAATCACATTAAAGTACTTCTCAAAAGAAGCACAGCATACTCGTATGCTCATTTAGATTCTCCTCACATATCTTATTCACACCCATTCCAATGATCTAGTTCCCTGCACAGATTTTTTGTTAGATGTTTTTCATATGCATCCGTTATTTGTCTTCTATTAGCAAGTGCCTGATATTCGAGTGAAACATGACGAGCTTCCACTTGTAGTTTGTTTAAGTGTCCTTCAAATAGCGAGTGAGAAAGTAGAACCGCAACTATTTTGATCCGCTCCCTATCATATTGACTCAGTTAATTTAAATTCTAATAGAGGATTTTCATAAAGATTTTCTCGTGTGTGTTTCCAGGAGTTTTGTTCCAGTACTTTTTAGAGTGCATTTCGGTTGAAAAGAGCTATCCTGAATGGGTAATTTGATATTAAGACCACAACAAAACGTGAACACATTCATACATAAAAATTATCTGTTATTCAACCTCTTCCCACAAAAACCGCAATAACAAATAAGGAATGGAAAAAAGTCGCGTGATACCTTATTTGAAGAATCTGTCAATTTTGTATCCACCTCTTTAACATTTTTGATATTACAGCAGAGAAAAATAAAATGCTCTTTCAAGTTCTCATTGAATTTCAAACTAGAAGTTCAACCTTAACAAGCTATTTCACTATTTGAAATGGTCAACCTGCACACTATCGAATGGCACTGATGTAATGGTATAGAAATAGGACCTGACCGTGGAAACATTCTTATCCAAGTTCACAATATATTTTGCTGTTAGTTATTGCTGAAGTTGTTGATGTATGTCAAAATGTCGCAGAATCTGGTGACGTTGATAACACATAACATGACTGCTCAGCAGTGAGTCGTACAAACGTTTTCAAAATTCTTCTTCGACACAAATTTCACCCTGACAAAATGAAAATGTTTCATGGAGTAGATTTCGACAGAAAAGTTGGAGTACGTGAGATCCTCTGGGAACACGTCAACCGTTGTCAAGCTGTGTGGTACACCACATGTTATTGGATTAATGTACATTTTATGTGAATGGCTAAGTAAATCGTCAAAATTTGCGATACTGGATTGATTCAATCTCAATCTGACATCCCAAATTTATTCCGAAATATCCCCAAAAACTAAATATTTCTAGAAGAATTTGGGTTAACTATATTACAGGAAGGTTCTTTTTGGAAGCAAAACTGAATGTTGATAAATATTCACATTTGCTGATTAATCAAGTTATACCAAGCATACATATCGCCATCCAGTTAAATCCTCTATTGCAAAATGAGGACCCCTTCCATTTACGTAGTACCTATGCGGCATTTCCTCGTTAATAAAGGATTGGAAGAAGTTTTACAAAATGGTCACCCAGGTCTCTCGATTCAACTCCGCCTATCAGATGCAACCAACCACTATCGAAACTTCATGAAAGGAAATCTAAAAGTGCTTTAAGCTGGTGAGATCTGATAATTTTCAGAATAGAGGCGTAATAACAGTCTTGTCGTTCAAGTACATCCGAGGCCAATAGTACATTCGTGATTCTGCCTAGCACTATTGATAACACCTATCGCGGGTCGAAACATCGCTGACTGGTATTGGATCACGAATATTTTTTTGGCTCTGGTTTCATTTAGTTACCTTGTAGTGAGAGCTACAGTGAAAGATAGAGTCCGCATCTTGGTTAGCGGTCTATATGGAAGCTTACCTTTGCATCGAGACAACTCGGGAAGAATTGTTCATCTGATATTCGTGGATTGAGTCTTCTGTCGGTCTCATAGATGGCGCTTTCGTAAGGGGAGATTGCATCGCATTCACTTAGGCTAGGTTAGGTTAGGTTAGGTCAAAAGTAAGTGGGTCTTTCACTAGTTTATTGTATATGTATTCTGTGTTTTGAGTTCATCATATCCATTACAGAACATAACACATGGATTGAACGGAGTAGATTTCGACATGTTTTTGGATTAATGTACTTATGTGAATAGCTAAGTAAATCGTCAAAATTTGCGATACTGGATTGATTCAATATCAATCTGACATCCCAAATTCATTCCAAATATCCCCAAAAACTAAATATTTCTAGAAGAATTTGGGTTAACTATATTACAGGACGGTTCTTTTTGGAAGCAAAACTGAATGTTGATAGATATTCACATTTGCTGATTAATCAAGTTATACCAAGCATACACATCGCCATTCAGTTGAATCCTCTATTGCAAAATGAGAACTCCTTCCATTTACGTAGTATCTATGCGGCATTTCCTCGTTAATAAAGAATTGGAAGAAGTTTTACAAAATGGTCACCCAGGTCTCTCGATTCAACTCCGCCTATCAGATGCAACAAACCACTATCGAAACTTCATGGAAGGAAATCTAAAAGTACTTTAAGCTGCTGAGATCTGATAATTTTCAGAATAGAAGTTTGCTTAAACCATTGTATTCAAGTTAATCGTGCTCAGTTCGAACATTTGAAAAAGTTAATTTTTCTGTTCAGTTTCTCTTTCTAGTTCGAAATCAAATACAAACTTTGTATTTATTTTTTGCTGGCATTGCTGATGTCATAAATATTACTGGGTTTGTTATGGAGTTTGAAGACCTTCCAATAACTATATTTCACATTTGAATTTCTCCCAAGGGAGTGGCCATTAGTTATTG